ACACACACACACACACATGATAAAGAGTACAGAGTATAGAGAGTGTGTTTATGTGTATGTCTGTGTGTGTGTGTGTATCCAGAGGACTCTGTGGCTTTCTGGCGTACGGTGAAGGAGGCAGGGCTGTTGGAGGAGGTGGTGGAGGACTTTCAGAAAGAGCTGCAGGAGGTGCTGAACGGGCTGCAGGAGAGAGTGTGTGACCCACCACTACAGGTCAAAGGTTAGAAAAACACACACACACTCACAGGCAGGGGCTGGTTGAGCTACCTACAACAAAATAAACCCCCACAAAGTCAGAGGGGAGGTAGAAATTTGAGTATGAGTATGTGATACTACTGTTAAAGCTGCAGTAGGTAACTTTTATAAAAAAGTTTGTAATACTTCTGAAACTTTCACTATATCCTGACAGTAGAATATGAGAATGATAATCTGTTCTATAGACGACAGCCTGTGCATACAACTGATCTTAAAAATATCCAACTGCCTTCCTCTGTATGTATAGCCTCACCAGAATTAACCAGGAAAGAGGACACAACTTAACATTAAATTAAAATGGCAATAAATAATAAAGAAATAAGACTACAGACACCATGGTGGGAGCAACAAGCATTATTAAACTATACAAATGAAATATTCTGACACTTGTTGTAGAATCAACAGCAGAATAAAACATCACATCAGGCCGAAGACGCACAGATGTATAAACAATATAAACTCCACAGTGACTGCAGCCACAAACACGCATTAAAGAAAGGAGAGAGCAGTTTTTACACACACACACCGCGGACACACACTGCTACGTTGCTACGTGGTGCAGTGGTTGTTGATGTTCTTCCCTGGGCAGTGGGTGTTGTACTGTCCTGTGCACCAGTCCACTCAACTTTTCTGTCCCATTGCACTCCTTTTTTAGTTTTCAAAACCTCTGAGCTGAATGAGTGTCTGCAGCCACAATAGTTTCTCAGTGGCTGCAGAAGCCATTGTAGCATTCAGCAGGTTAGCCAAACCCAGCATGCACCCGTTGTTCATGCAGCATCATGGGTGATTTGGGTCACAGTGTGCTCATCGGGTAGTGCAGTGATTGTTACTTAAGCTGGATGCAACTGTAACCCAAATGCTAGCCCCGGTATGGGTACGACCGCTGTTCTGCCCCGTATGAAGTTTTTCATTCGTGCAGTTGGAATGCACTCGCTCTAAGTCCCTTTAAACAAAAGCTTTTTTTTATTCCATAATTCTTGTAAAAAGCTGCAGGCAGTTTATCAGACTTCACAGCAACTGCAACTTGTTTGTTGCTGTTGTTGTTTAGTTGCCGTGTCCCATTGAACATGAATTCTTCTTTGTTTTTTCAGATGCTGTTTTGCTCAACAATATCGTGCAGAACTTTGGGATGTTGGACCTAGTGAAGAAGGTTCTGGCCAGCCATAAGAGCCAGATGGACCGTTACAGAGAGCAGTACACTCGCAGCCTGGCTGGTCAGTGCAAGAGTCCGGAGCAGCACGCACACTCAGGATAGAATTATGTTTCTTGAGGCTTAAAATGTCTGTGCAGCTCCAGACAAATTACCACCCTGCATTCGTATTAAAGGTGCAGTAGGAGGATCTATTGTCAGAAATAGAATATAACACTCATAGGTATGCTTTCATCAAAATAAGAATCACTATGTTTTCGTTACCTTAGAATGAGACGTTTTTAGCTACAGACACGGGGTCGCCTTCCATGAAGTCCGACGAACAAACCAAACACTGGTTCTGGATAAGGCCATTCACGTTTTTCACATGTTTCGCAGTCACCGTAGTTTCTCCTACACCCTTCACAGCCCGTTCTCGTTCCCAGGTCGTCAAATTTGCACGCGGGTGGTGTTCAATTAGTCGAAATTTGCAACGTCACTGCTAGATGCCTTCACCGATCCTTTAAGGGGTTGACTGTATGTCTGATTACTAAAGTCTTGGTGTGTGTTTGTACGTATTGATGATGCATTGTCTCCTGCAGCTCTGGAGCAGCAGTGTGACGAGCACAGGAAGCGAGCCAAGGAGCTGAAGAGCAAATCCCAGCACCTCAACAACGTCCTGATGACCCTCACCCCGGTCCCTGCGCCCCCCGCGCCCAAGCGACCCCGGCTGACCCGTGCCGTCTCTGGCCCGGCCTCAGTCAACGCTGCTCCCACCCAGATCACTGTGCCTCTCAACCAGCTGACCAGCCTTCAGCTGGGCAAGGTGCTGACCATGGCAGGAGCCCAGGGCGGCGCCAACCTGGGCGGGTACACCCTCCTGACCTCCTCGCTCTCCGGGTCAGAGCTGGGGGGCGACGCCTCTAACCTGACCGTGCTGTCCACGGCGGCAGGTCAGGTGGTCGGCCCTCAGTACCAGCTGTTGACGCTGCCGGCTGCGCTGCAGAGCTTGGCCGCGACGCAAGGCGCCACCGTCCAACAGCAGGTCGGCACCATCAGTGTGGTGGAAGCCACGGCAACGGCTGCGGATGATTCACAAGAGGAAGGCCAGGCGGATGGCGAGGATGAAGGTCAGCCAGAGCAGCTTAAAGAGGGAGATGGGGAGCAGCCGGCCGATCAGCAGTGAGACAAAGGACAGCTGTTCTCTCCCTCGTCACCCAGCTCGTAATTGCCTTCACTCCATCATTACGGGCCCTGATGGGACGTGCAGTTCCTGTGATGGCCGAGGGCTCGTCCACATTTAGACTTTCACAGAGCATTCATGGCCTGTGTTCAATTCTCATTCGAGCCTTCCTTATAGACGTCCTTCAGATTTCAAGATACCCACATTTATATTAGAGTGGCATCTGGTGTCAGGAGTGTGTACTTCAGTAGTGGTTTCACTGTAAATATGTTTTTGTAACTAATATATTTGATACAGCTGTTTGTGTAGGGATTTATTCCATGTAGGCTGGAGGAGAGGAGAATTGTTCAGTTTGGTAATAAATGCTCAGTTTTCAAGAACAAATTGTGCATCTTTACATGTAAATGTCTTCATCAGTGTGTAACTGAGACTGTGAACTTGTGTGTTTTAAGTTTTAACGAGTGTTTAGGAGGATCTATTGTCAGAAATAGAATATGTTATTCATAGGTATGTTTTCATCAGAGTATAATCACCTGACAATAGGAATTGTTGTATTTTGGTTACCTTAGAATGAGCTGTTTTTTAAAGAGGGAGAGAGTCCTCTTCTACAGAGTCCACCATGTTGAACCACCATGTTTCTACGGTAGCCCAGAAAGGACAAACCTAACAAACCTTAGTAGCTTTTCCCTGAACCTTCAGCCACATGTGTGTAAGCTGTCATCACGTCACAATTATTGACTTAATAGATTTTATTTTGTTGCATAATTTGTATAGTGACAGTGGAGAGAGACAGTGAAGGCGGGAGAGAAATGGGGTGACATGCAGGAAAAGGGCCCGGGGCCTGATTTGTTCGAACCCAGCCTTAAGGACTCAACCTTCATATGTGGTACACGCTCTACACGGTGTTCTTCTTTTGGCTTACTAAATTTCAAATTCATGAAGATAATAAAAAAGAGGACAATAAAGTACCAGGGTTTTGCTACTTACGTTCACTGATATGGTACTTTCCCTTGAGAAAAATAATATCAACCGTAGAGCATAATTGGTACAAATATTTCCCATGTAGAAGGACCAGAACATTTCTAAATTTGTGCATACTTTATGTATCCTGTTGCATTTAATTACCCATCGGAGCAGCTGCAACCTCCGCCTGTATAGTGCGTCAGTCAGTGTGCAGTTTGATTCAAAAGAACATGATTAACATATCAACTAACAAAATAAAGGTATTAAAGAACAGGATACTGGGCAGTGGAGCAGGAGACACAGTTTCTATTGTGCTTTAATGGTAGCTTCCATCTGCTAAACTAATTTGAAGTGAAATTACCACAAGCTAATTACCACAGTGAAGCTTTTGCCTTTGAGGCCCCTAAAGGTTTGGTTAGTCCGTCAGACCAAGGGGTCCCAATTTTGTTCATGTCAAGGACCCTTTAAGGGGATTTTGCTTTATAGAAAGAGAATGTGGCCGAATTTTTATTTTCAGGTTTGAAGATGATAAGTCTTCACAGTCTATCAGGGATTGAACTGGGAACTCAGCCCCTCCTCTTCCCTAGTCTAACTTCTGGAAAATGTGGTAAAATAAATATTGTATTCCTCCTGTTGCTTGGGACCCATTACCCCAGGTTGGAAGCCACTGAGTCAGACAGTAACAATGCAACAGTTGTTCTCTTTTTGAACAAATAGGAGCAAACGGACTTTATGATCTGTTACTTTCCCACAGGAGGGCGCTCACTGTTGATTGGTTCAGACTTCGTCCGGCTGGTTTGTTTCTGCAGCAGTCAGATTCTTCACGTTTGAGCCGGATCTGCTCAGTATGTGTCTGGTTTTAGGTCGACAGATAGACACCGACTGTTCATTTTGGCTTTGGATATCTAATCTATATATACTAATAATAGAAACAACAACGACAACAATATATTATTAATAATAATAATAATAATAATAATAATAATACAGTCATGTAATATTCCTTTAAATGATTCTGATAGTTGAAGATTACATTCGTATCTGAATTCTGTATTAGCCTCGTTCAGCCTATAGCCTAAACTAAAGGCACCATATTTGAATGGCATTGCAGTCAAGGTCAACCAAATTCCATTCAAAATTTAGATTATTTAAAAGTTTAAAAAAAAACTTATGTTGAAACTCATATCAGATAAAATGCACAAGTTCAGTTATGAGAACTATTCGTTTTAATTGATAAAAGGTCCCCTTTATAGATGCTCCTACAAACTGCTCAGAGGATACAGTTAATGCCAAATCTGGGATGAATGTTAAATGTATTTAAAGTGCCGCTCGTTATTATTGGTGTTTGCCGAGTTTGAGAGCATGTATTGATATTTAATAAAGGAAATTTAGCTGAGTCATGTCCAGGTATGAGTCTGTCGATGAGTGAGTTAATATTAAAGTGGAAAGATTCGGAATGGAGATTGGCTCCATGTAACGGAGCGCACTGAGGCTGAGATCACGCAGGCTATGACTTCCTTTGAACTTTTTGACAGACAAGAAGGTGGTTATATTCATGGTTTTATTAAACAAGCATCCTTTATTGAATGACAGACGATGATGAACACAGAGATGAGAGTTGTTACACAGAAGTCAACCCAGTAGCTATAAGCAAGATAGGCAGGCATATGATACTTTTTGGATAAATGGTGGCATTTCAAGTGAACCTGCACAAGGTCTTTGTAGTTTCTCTCTCTGAGCAGGGTTCCTCTATAAGCTCAAGTCATCATAGGAGTAATACGGCTCCTCCACTGAGCGCACAGAGATTTTGAAGTGTCGGCGCAGAAAGCCTCCGTATCGCTTGTCCCACTTCAGGTTGTTCAACTTTGGTCGGATCCTCCTCATGAAGCCCCCGTAGCGCTTCTGCAGCTCCTCGGGCTCCTGGCTCTCCTGCTCCGCGGAGCTACTCCTCTTTGACTTGGGGCCGAATTTGCGTAAAAAGCCACCGTAACGTTTCGCGTAACTGTGGGGCATCTGGTCCTCCGGAGCTTCATCCGCGTCCTCCGGCACCTCTATGCCTCTCTCCTCCAGCCTCTTCAACAAGTCCTCGTATTTCTTGGGCAGCGCTGCGCCCTTCAGGATGTAATTGTCGCGCCACGGAGAGCTGAATATTTTGTTCTTGTTCTTGTCGATCCTCTTGATGAAGCCGCCGTAGCGTTTGACCAGGTCTGCCTGTTGGCTCTCCTCCTCCTGCGCAGCCTCATCCTGGCTGAAGTCCGCCAGCCCCGGAGCCTGGCCGCAGCTCTCCAGCTGCCCCTCACACTCCGCACTGCACGACTGCGGGACACACACATGGAGAAGAGTTTAAAAACTTATGTGTGCACACACAACACAGTGAGATTTGGTACTGGAGGTCAGCTCTACACTTTTTTGTTTGCTTAATGTATTTTGAAGGGTTTGGCGTCAGGTTGACCAGACCAGGCCACCATCTGACCCCCTATTCTCTCCTCACATTTCCCCTTAAAGGAGCAAACATCACACAATCTGCTTCTCCAAAGCTTTATTTGTACATATGAGCGAAAGAGTCAAACGTAAGATTTCATATTTTTACGCAACCCATATTGTATGTTACTCGTTTAGATTTACTCAATTTTCAGCCTGACATATTTGGTATTTTAACTTAAGGATTTAGGAAATTAAAATTATAACAATACAATTAACTCTCTCTTATTCCAATGTAAACTTTTAGGTAAAACACAAAAAAGAAAAAAAAGGCAGCAAAAGCCCAATAAAGCCACCTTCCTCTCTCTGGCTCTGTGATCTTACCAGGCTGCTGAAGGCGACGTCGGGGCTGAGGATCTGCTGCGCGCATTTTTGACACTGTGAAGAGCAATCTGCGTGGATGGAGGGCGGCAAGCTCAGTATCAGCACCAGGACATACCACTCCATTCTTCACCAGATCCCTGACACACACAAACAAACAAAAACAACATAGGCGGTGAGTCTGGGTGAGATTGGTTTGATGATTCACAGACTAAAAAAGACTTAAAATCAATGGAAACCCTTAATCTGTACTGATGAAACTTGCTTACTTCATTAACATCTTCTTAATTCAGTCTGTTAAACTCACATTAAACTCATGAAATCACTACATTACCAATCATGTAGAACTGTGCGCAGTGCGTAATGGTGCGTAAAGGAGTTCCTTTCCTCACTTTAATTCAAATCCAGCAGATACACATAACATTAGTTCTAAGTTTCATAGAGACAATAAAGTACAAAGTATAGAGAGAGTACCTCAGGAGTTAGACAGATACTTCCAGCCGTGTTAAGACTCGCAGAGGTGCATCTACCATCAAATGCAAACTCGCTGAACGCACTCCAACACTTGTTCCTCCTGCGCGGCTCGTCGCCTTTCTTTTTATCGCCGGAGACTTGGCTGTGTCACCGCAGCGCATCACAGCAGCTTCTATTGAGGGACCAATGGGAGGGAAATACTCTGCGTATACAATCCCACCGCCTCCCCGCTTCAGGAGTTTTTAACAACGCCCACACAGAGAAGGTATAGGAGCAGCAGCGCAGCTCGTCCCATCAGCACATTACCATCATCATCGTCATCCTCATCATCATCATGCCATCTCTGGGGGGCCTGGATCAAACCCTGGGCTGTAAATCTCACTGACATCTATGAACAAAGTGGCTCAGAGAAAGTAAAACCTACAAAGGGGAATGAGAAATCACTTTGAATTCAGACATGAACCTGAACTGGATAGAAAACGCGGATCCGAATATGAGCATGATGCGGTACACTTATGCCTTTAGAGTTGGGTCATTTTAACGAAATTACTCACTCAATAATACCAAGGACTAATTATGTCATTGCTTTAATACTTGCTTTAATAATTCTTACAAATGCCATTAGAAGCACTAGGAGGAGCCAGAGGAACCTGATCTGACCTGTCTTCTGTACTACTGTCAGGATATATTAAACATTTCAGCAAATATGACACTTTAATAAAAGTTACCAGCTTTAACAGGACTCATAAAGCCATACTTTGCCCTCAAGGTAAATGCAAGATTTTCACAACAGTAACACAGCATATGTGTCAGGTACTAATGATTTCTTTACACTAATTGGAATATGTCCACAACTCCCCCGCCTCTCAGCAAATCTACATCTACTGTATGTCATTGTTCCATTCATGTCCTCGGTAAATGCCTTCAGGTTGCATTGTGTGTGCGATAAGCAGCAGCCTGGTGCTGTACAGTGGGAGGACCCCGGGAATTTATCCACACACGAGTTGTCGGCCTCATCCCATTTCAAGGCTGAAACCTTCAGAAGCTCATTGACGGAGCGAGGTTACACTGTCGGTCTTCTTGCCTTTGTTCCAGGGGGAAAATGAAGAGAAACCTTGGACATGCAACAACATACAGCATTGGTAGAGTTCCCAAGTGCACAGTCTGTCTTCTCTCTCATAATCACACTCCATTACACTTTGCACCACCTGTTGCTATTTGATTCTATTTGTACATTTTATTTCATTTGAGATAAACTTTTATTATTCATTTAAAGACAAAAGTTCAGTTCTATAACTACCATGATGATATTTCATCACGTACGTCACTCTAAATGCAGTACGAAATAAGACCTGAGACCATGAACTAACTCTCATTGATCTGTAACTGAATTATAGCACGTAAAAGAACATAGTTACTATGGTTACCATGGCATACTTTTACACCTGGAAATCCTTGTTGTTCTCTGGATTGTCTTTCTTTTTTAACCCGATACAAAGAGAAAATGTAGCTGTACTTTTTTATGAGTACGTCATCCGGACACAGAGAACTAGCACTACCTCTGCAGTTCCCTGTGGCTCTATCAGAACTTTTTAGTTTATCATATTTGCTGATTTAATGGCAAGCAATCACATAGGCTATATCAATATTATTTAAATCTTCAGATATCTTTTCAAATATCGGTATATTTGGTACAAACAGAGCGAAAATTGGAGTGAATATTGGACCTTGCATTCATCAGGTGGACACTCAACCTCTCATCCACTCTGAGAACGTTCAAACACTGATTTGAACGTTTGAACACGTTCAAATCAGGTAACCAGTCCCAAACCCAAAATTGTAGGTTATGTAAAATGTTTTAGCGTCATCAAGGACATATAATAATATAATATAATACACTTTTCAAAATCAAAGATACACAGTGCATTACAGGGTTGAACCAGGATTGAAACATTTCAGGATGGAGGCAAATAAATCAGGCAAATATAAACGATAATACATACCTAAAATTAAGTTAAAACCCAGAAAATAAAGATAAAATCTAATAACAAAACAGATAAAACACATCTTTGAGTTTAAAGAAGTGTTTCAAAAGATGTCACTGATATGTTGCAGAGTGCTGTCCCGTTCCTATTTATACAGTGTCGGTTCGCTGCAGTCTCTTGCACTCAAGCACTCATCAGGTGTCGTCAGCTTACTCCGTCAGGGTTTAGTGTTTGCGCTTTAGGGGTAGAGACTGGCCTTGGGCCTGCTTGTATTTGTGAAGCCCAGCACAAGAAACATGCAATGGTGCTGGGTAAGATCCTGTAAGAATAGCAAAAAGTCAATGTTTACATCTAACACTTTTTAAACATTTCATCATCAGTTCTGTACTATTTGATCTGCTATTTTAGAGCATTTTATCAAGTCAGCAGCTGACATGAAATGTGGGGAAAGAGACGGGGAATGACATGCTGCAAAGATCCCCAGCCAGACTCAAACCGTAGACATTGCTGTTCACGGTCGATGCCTTAAACCCAAGGCCACTAGGGAACCCCGTTTGAGCTGCTCTTTGAAGCTAAACAGCCTCGTCTTGCATTAGAAGAGTACGCATTTAAAAACTAATAGAACAATGAGAAGAAAACACTGAATTTGTCAAAAAAAGAAGCATATTAGGTATGTATGATTGTTAAAAATGAAAAAAAATGTTTTACTATAGCCTGAGAACTGTATAAAAAGACCTTATAAATATCTTGAAAACTCATCTCTGATGCAGTATTCACAGGAAATAATCTGCCCAAAATGTATCCCAATCTCTAATTTTATATAAATATCCTGCAGTTATTGTGTTCAGTACCGGGTTCCTTGTACAGTTTATCATTTGTTCTGTACTGTTATTGTAATGCATTAAATATAATATGAAATATCCATAAAATATGTCCACGCTATAGGATACTGTAGCGTGCACGCAACACAAAATTGTGCTTAAAAATATTATAAGACCATTAGTAAGTAATGTGAATGGCATCCACCAGACCTGAACGAAAACAACCAATCAGAGCTGAGAAAGACAGTCTCATTCCCAAGTTGTCAAATACCAACACTGATGAGACTCAACAATCAACAATCATCTTCAAGCCTCCAACTCAAAGCGGCTTTCCATCTTTCTCAGCTCTGATTGGTTGTTTGCATTCAGGCCCAGTGGATTTTTGCAAATGCCATTAGGAGCACTAGGAGGAGCCAGAAGAACCTGATT